TTGAATCTTTATTTTAGATGTCTCAGGTCCATGTGTGCAGAGTGGGAAGATCTAGAGAGTGCTATCTATCATGAAAGCTTGGAACTTTCTCCCATGCATTACTCAATCTGTAATGTCAACACAGGTATTCCTTCTATGTTCTTCAAACACAGAAGCAGTTGTTGATACATAGTTCTTAAAATATTTGTAAGTAGAAGTCTAAACAGTAAACTTTAAATCTAAACACTTAAGGTGAGAGTATACGCCTTCTGAAGAAGAGAGAACATGTTGCTGTAGGGCTAAACATTGTCAGGTCAAGTTCATGCTGAAAGCTTGAATTTCACTCCTTTTGCCAGTTGGAGAAGATCCATCAAAACAGGAGAGAAGCAGAAGATGACTGGGTCTTATTTCTTTATCACCTTGAGCTATGACACCATTTGACTTCAAGAGATTATGTAGGGTCAGGCCAGCACTTGAGACTAATCTGTATTTTTTGATGAATCATAAGGTGAAACTGTTGTTTCTGAATTAATGCTGTCCTAATCCATTAGCAAAGTACTTGCACGATGTTTCGTTATTCTGTGTGTTCTTTGTGAATTTGTCTGAAAATGAAGATATTGACTGCTAGTATACTCCTCACAGCTTTTATATGGAAGGGCCATTTAACTTCTCTTTTCAACTCAGATATCTAGACAGTGATAATTTGTGTATATTTTCTTTTTTTTAAAATATAATTTTAATTCAGCCCCCTTGTCTTTGCTGCTTTTCCTGCATTTTAGGTGCTGTTTAACAGTGTCTGTCTCTGTTCCATTTTTATTCAGTAGAGAATGCATTAATGGAGACAGTATCAGCAGTTACGCAGTGAGAGATTTAACTGATGTTATTAATTGATGGAAGATACCCAATCGAATTTTAAGGTTGCCATTTCCTGAGGGAGCTGTATACTCCCAAACAGGATTTCATCTGACAGTTGATGTAAAGGGAACAGCTGATCATGTAGCACTTTTCTAAGCAGGTACTATTTCTACTCATTCTAAGTAAAAAGCATGCAGGTAAAGATAGCCTAAGGTCCACTTGCATGATTTGCTTTGTAGTTAAAGAAAAAGATGCTGCAATTTGAAACTTGTTCCATTCTGACCCCGTTTATCTCTTATTATTTTTCCTTCTGACTTCCCTTTCCCAACTGAAAGACTTCTCTAAGAGCTCATCTCCTTTTCTTTAACATTTGTTCTAATATAAATAATTTCATTTAATGTTTGAATGTGTTGTCTGAGCCCTCTGGTTCCTAACACAACATTTTTCAGCTTGACAGCACATTTCTCTGACTAACCTGCCACTGAATTTCCAACTCCCATCTTTCACGTGATTTAGTATGTCTCCTTGGTAAATTATTTCAGTTGTAATAATGATCATCGCTTTGCCTTTGAGAATGATGTTTATTCTGTTCTCTTAATAATGTGGCTGATATTGTGCAAGATGTGTCAACAGTGTATGACTTTTCTCCCTCAACCCTGATATTAACTTAAAATCAAGGGAGTTCAAAGAATATGTTCCACAGACTTCGACGTTTATGCTAAAAAATACTTTACCTGAAATATTTCAAAGAACACTGTACAAAATAAACCTATTGAGCAGACAGTCTTAAGAAAATTAAAGACATTCAAATTCAAGGACATCTATAGACAGGAACTTCTTTATGAACACAAGTTCAAGACCAAAGGAGCACTATATGTTTCACTGAAGAAAATTATTTCCATTTCCTATATGTTACCTGAACAGGATAAGACTATGTTTTCTTAATATAGATAAGGTTCTAGCACCTGAAACTCCAGTGGTTTCTGTATACATCTGCTCATGCAAAGAGATGAATAGGCTGAAGAAAGTCATTCTGTGCATCTACCACTTCCACATCTCTCCGAGTCACAGGAGTGAGGACAAACCTACCTGGCCAAACCCAGGCAAATGAAGAAGGGAGGAACCAGCCCTAGCAGACCTGTAAATTCTGACAGTTTAACAGGGATGCTTGAGTAGTATTGCTAAAAATGCTCGTTATGCATTTCCATTCATATAAGAATTGAAAGCCAGGTTAGTCAAGCCTTCTTTTCTGTTGTCTAACCCTGTTCTACTGGTGAGTCAGCTCTTGTTGTCTTAAAATGTCACTAAAATTCATTCATTAAGTCATAATTCCAAGACTCTTTCATCCTGAACAAGAGAGTATGTACTAACAGACAGATAAACCTTCCAGGAGAATGACTTCCTGTCAGCTTTTTGCATCTGTTGTCATGAAACTAGTTTGATCAAAGTACCAGCAGAACTTTCTCAGTGTTTGCAGGTATTAGAAGACTTCATCTTACTTGGATTTTGCTTACTCTGATAACTGTTTTCTTGTTGCTTTAAAGATTTCCCACTAGTTCCTTATTTTGCTGTTTTGACTGCTCTGAAGGCAGTTACAGAAAAATTAAGTTCTTTCCTTTTGTGCAAACCCACAAGAAGTTCTGTTATTCTGAGAGATATAAAGCAGAAAAATAGAAGATTGCCTTTTGCAGTACGAAGGGAAACTTATATGTAAGTGAGAAAATCTGACTAAAAGTCTGCACTCCTTATTTTGGCAACACTCTTCATCAGAATCCTCAGCATCCTGGTCCTGAATGTCCTGATAAAATTTCTCAGTGGGGTTTTGAAGTCTGTCTAACCTATGACATCACTGATGAAACATATACTCTTTTTGATTCTTCACATTAGTAAGATATTCTTATAGTGGAAGACCCGGTTAGCTCAGTCAGTAGAGCGTAGCACTAACAACGCTAAGCTCACAGGTTCGATTCCCGTTTGGTCCCCGTGTGTTTCCTGATATAGTCGACAGGTGGCATCCCTGGCGGCAGGGAGGCTGGATTAAATGATCTCTGAGGTCCCTTCCAGCCTAGGCCTTTCTATGATTCTGTGACCCTCCCTTGAGGGATTAACAAAGAGATAAAATAGCCAAAGACTTATGTAGTGTTATTAATTAGCAGATTTTGGATTCTTTCAGGGGCAGTTTAGCTTAGGTAGGGGGCAGTGGCTTACAAACTCTGTCAGCGTAGGTGCTGCAAGCCTCAAATAGAAAGATTGCTGAAAATGTAGGGAATAGTTGGGAAATGTTTGCTGAGCACTAGAGGGTTAGCTGTAATACTGCTGAAGTTTTATACATCTGCTGGCAGAAGCTTTATAAGTTAAGACTTAATGAGTTATGGCTTCTCGACAAAATTGGATCCAAAACAGACATCAAGGGAAGAAAAATCAAGAAAAATGGTTGTAATTGGGAGGTAATAGAAGGAATAGCTTTTTACTTCCACAGCTAGTACTGATTGCAGAACAAGATCAGACTGCTCAAAGCAATCAGAGAAGATTAAAAGCAGGCTGTATCTGGTACGCCTGGAAAGAGGATAATATATTAAATACACTTACAATATGTGTAATAAGACAGTTTCAAATTAATTCTTTCACAAGGAAAGATTAATTTTGCCCTGGAGCGGTATTTCTCTGGCATTTAACTCATGTTCGTGCAGAGTTCCCTACTTGCAGGCACAATGACACATGTGTTTACTCTCAACATTAGAGGCTTGCAGAAGATGTTTGGATTTTTTAACTTTCAGATTATGTCTTAGTGTAAACATAGTTAGATTGAAGATGAACATTTTTGCTTTATCTTCCATTTTTACTGCTATTCTCTAGTTTACTCTGGTGCTTTGACTAAATTTGGTTACAAGCTTAATGGACTGGCTAAGGAGCCTGAGCATCTTCCTGAGGTGTTTTTGTTTGATATCATCCCTTTGTTCACCCTGCTTTTGTTCCATGGTCCTTCTATGACAAGGAAGGGAGAGACACTTTTTCAATAGATTGTGGTAATAAAATACTGGGGTCTTCGGTAGACCAATGCTGATGGAAACACAAACATTTTCATTGTTAATAGCCATTGTGCCTGTAGTTTTTGTGCAGATCCTGATCTCAGTTTCTGTGATTTTGATGGTAACTGCAGGCTTGATAAAGAAATTCTTTCTTTGGACAAAATGGTAACCCAATTATCTAAATCTCTAGCACACTGTTGAGGAGGTGTAGCTGGTAATCCTGTTTTGCTTTAGCTGATTTGCCAAAAGATCATAGTTGGCTGTGAAAGCAAATTTCCTGTGAAAACTTGGAGTGATTCTAGACTTTGCTAAGCAAATGCTCTGGACAGATTTGCTTAGGTTTGATTTGTTTGTTGGGGTTTTTTTTGTGTAACATTGTGGCACAGCTTTGTGTGATGCTAGCAAAACTGAAACTGGCTTGATATTCAGCTAAAAAAGAATGAATCCTCTCCTGTTAGAAGTTATTTGAGATTATGTTAGTTATCATAAACATCCTTCACTTAGCAACAGGGACGGCATGTAGGACATCAAGCCAACTGGAAAGAATCTGTCTAACAGGGCTCTGTTGGGGTGGGTGGATAAGCTTTCCCAACAACACTAGTTCTTTCCCTCCTGTCTGTCATAATTTGTGTTGCTAGGATCTGTTTCACGAGTTTTGTGACAGACTTATAAATGATACTGTGGCTCCTTTTGTTTACTGTCAAAAAGAACCATAATGCAGGGAAAGGGAACAGTAAAATGATACGGAAAATTAAAAAAAAAATCTGGGCACATAAGACCATAAGTGTCTATACCAGGACAGCTGTTCCTGAAGGGAAAAAAAAAATCATTTGTTAAAAAAAAATTATTTGTGTTGCTGAAATGGAAAGCAATATACGATAACATTCCACTTCTTTACCTTTTTAGAAACTTAGCTTCTTCAGCTAAACAGGAAAGAAATTATTTAGTCAAAACCTAAAAACTTCAGTTAGAATTCAGGAGACTTCTCATGTATCATGCTAACAAGTAACAGTGAAATACGTCTTTATTCACAGATGTAATTCACATTCTTGCTTCTAAGTTAGCTTTTTGATATAAACTGGTGGTTTCATTATAAGTCCGCTCAGCATGTTTGACCTTTTATACTTTTGCTTTCAGGGGAAGAAGAAGATGAACAGATAGTCACAGAAATCATGAGAAGGCGTTTTATTCCTGCTCTTATAACCCATAAAGCATGGGAAGGCTTTCACTTTGCTGGACATGAGATAAGGATTACAGAAGCCACTGACTGTTACGGGGCAGTTGTCTGGCCATCGGTAAAATGTTTATGCAGTGTTGTTATTTTTTAATTTTGGAGTCTTCTAGCACTTTTAATTTCTTTTGCATGATGAATATGTTTGTTTGAGTGCTGTAAACCCAAGGAAAACATTTTGTGCTTCTCTGTCTGTTTTCTGCAAATCTCAAACCTGAATTTAGCCTAGTTTCCTATGGATTCTGAGTTCTTAGTGCTTAAATGGTATTTCTTGTTTGTACTCCTATCACGCAAGATGTATGATCTTGTGTCCCCTCCTCATCTACTAGTAACTTCTGATCCTACTGGCCAATTGCAAGCATATTTTGAAGAAAATATGGTGCTCTTATGAGTACATATCTTTACACTTTATAAATACAGAGAGCTGTGTAGCAGGCAGATCCAGGCTGCAGAAGCAGCTGTGATAGGGACTCCCAAGATATTAGCACCCGTAAAAGCTACTCAGTACACTTGTGCAAGAAATAAAGTTACCTTGCAAATACCTAGATGTGGAAGAAGGTTCCTGGAGCTTTCAGTTTGTTAAACAGCCAGAAATCTAGAGGGAGAGAACTGATATCCTTGGCTCTTGATATACAAACCATCAATATGCCCCCCATACAAAGAGCCTTCCTCAGGATTTTGAATCTGTGCAATGCAACGAACTGATTCTTTCAAAATAATGATTAAGAGTGAAAGAAACCACTGCGGTTAGGGAGGTGCCACAGCGCACCATGCAGCATTCAGACAACCTCCCTGAAACAGAATCATCTCCAGGAGGGGGAGGGCTAGAACCCGTGAGGTTCTGTTTCTTTCACAAGGGTATCAGCCTACTAGGATTGTACTACTTTTAAGAAGTACAGCCCTAGTTCAGCTGAGGACAGTTAGGGTACTCTGCTGTTTTGAACTCCAAATATTTTTCCTTATCCTAGCAGACCTGAACAAATCTCTTATACTACATCTTTTAGTGGCCTCAGTGCATATTTTCAAGGAAAGGTAGGCTGACTGCCAATTATTCCCATAAAGTCATGGACTATACTGAAAAGCATATTTTTTTTCCTAAAAGGGTTTAGCCAGTTTTGCTGTGGAAGGAATGCAACCCATCTGTCAGTGTCTCTTCATGTTCTCCCTTTCTGTTCCATCCAGCAGTATTTGAACTCTTGTGAAAACGGCAGCCAAATTTGTTGAGAAGGCAGAAACTTTAGAAAAAATAAAGCTTTTGCATGTTTTATGGAAAGGAAGGCAGATGACAAAGTTTCCTTAATTTAACCCACAGAAACTTTGATCCTGCCTGCCAGCCAGTTTCTACAACAGTCTATGGCAAAACTCTGAAGGGAGGAAACACGGGAGTATGAGGAACTAACAGGAAATGTTAATATAATGTGATTTTACATGTCAGTCAAACATCAGATGCAATCTTTAGGAATCTGACTTTAAGTAGTCCTGGTGCTCACAGACTTATTTCTATATCAAAGCTTTGTGGATCGTGAGATACATTTAAGCTCACATAAAAGACCCTGTTCTTTTTGCTCTAAATTAAGAGGTAGAAAGCAAAAACTTTGTATGGATTTCTAGCATGTTACCGTTGCATCAACAGTCCTTCTGTTATTTTTCTTCTATTCTTAACTGATTAAAAGCAAATCTAACAGTGTATTTTTGTTGTGCCATACTAAACCATTAAAAATTTCCTTTCCAAATATTTTTTCTGTATTGCAAGATGTGGCAACCATCATATGTGTTTGTCAATGGAGACTATATAACTATTGGAGGCTATATTTAACTGTTGGAGGCTGGGAAAAAATGTGGGACACAAACTGGAAACTATCTTTGCCAGAAAAATAAAATTAGCCGTTTCTATTTCAACAGTTAGCTAAAACCCACTGGTCAGTATGAGAGAGGACAGAAAAGCTGAAGAAGCTTCTGAATCATGGTTTATAAATGCATACAAAGACTCTGTTGTAGAGGGCTCTTTGTGGCTTTGGTTGCTGTAAAAGTTTGCTAAGCTTAAACAAGGTAAATGCATAGAACTGAAAACAAACTGAACTGGAAGAAAAGAGCTAAACCTATTGGTTCCTTTTGAATCATTGTGGTAATTAATTGTTGTTAGAAATAATTAATTATTGTAAGAGTTTAACAAGGCTTGTTGTGGATTTTCTGTCATGAGCAGTCCTTATATCAAGATGTCTGTGCAAAGGACATGTTTTAACTCAAACAGAAGTATGTGCAGCTATAAGCAGAGATTACTGACTGGAATTTTATAACTCATGTTATGCAGCGTGACGGATTAGATAATTGCAGTTGTTCCTCTGGCTATAATGCTTTGAAAGCCTATACTGAGGCATGTTGTGGCATTTACTTTGTCAGCCTACAGAGCTCAAAGATCATAGTGAGCTGTGATCCTTTAGGGGTATCACTTGAGTGAATATTGCTCATTTGAACAGATATGAATTTCTCACCATGCATGCTTTTAAATGCATATTTAGTGAAAGGATTTATTTAATTTAATTGTTCAGTATGTTCACGGATTCCCTCCCTACAGGCTCTTATTCTGTGTTATTTTTTGGAAACTAATTCTAAACAATACAATTTGGTTGACAAAAATGTGATTGAAATTGGAGCTGGAACCGGGTTGGTCTCCATAGTAGCCAGTTTACTGGGTGAGTACATGCCATTGCACTTATGCTCTTGGAAACATCTCTCAGATAAATGCTGGAGCACAAAAGAAGTGTTTCAGTTCTTCTAAAAAGACTTGTTTGAATGCTTCCAGGGGCAAGAAAAAGACTTGTTTGGAAACCTGCTTTGTTATTCCTTTCTGTAAAGCTGTGAGTGTATTGATGCAATAAAGGAGATCCCAGTAAATAATGTTGTCATTAACAGTGTTAAACAGAGGACTAAAATAAGAAAATAGTGGCCTCACAGAAGGTCAGTGGCAACCAGATGAAAATATGACCAGTGCATCACCCTCCATTGACCAAACAGCAGCTGGATGCCAAGTCACTTTCTTTCCATTTGTGTTCAGCATTTTCTTTCAGCAACTAATCAGCAACTTGATTTTTCTGATATGTATACTGTTGTGTTTCTCACAGAGTAGCCCATTCTTCATCAAAAGTAATCCAAATCATTGACTTCTGCATTCTAACAGAATTTTAGCTTTCTGTAGTCTGAGAAAACTTCTTCCTATGTGAAAAGGAAAGAACCTGAGGCAGTGCTCAAATCTTATGCTGACTTCTTGGAGCCACTAACTGGTATTCTTCCATCCCTAGTCACTCATACTTTTGACCAATATGATCTAAAGATGCTGTAAATAACTGACTTCTCCCCATCCATCTACAGCTGCATTTAGATAGCAATCTTTAGAGCAGAACTACCAGGAACCAAATATTTATTTTAAGCATGGTGGCTAAGAGTTATGGGAGCTTTATATTGATCTCTTCCCCTCAGGGAGAGCTATTTGGTAAAATGTGTTCCCTGGGCAGTGGGCTTGTGAATGGGCCTTTACTCAAGTCCAGAGGTATGTTTAAAGATTGTTTTCTCCCTTCCACAGGTGCCCTTGTGACTGCCACTGATTTGCCGGAACTCCTGGGAAACCTTCAACGCAATGTTTTCCAAAATACAAAGCTGAAATGCAAGCACCAGCCTTGTGTTAAGGAACTGTCTTGGGGAATTGATCTGGAAGAGAACTTTCCTAGGTCTTCCTGTCACTTTGATTACATTATGGCTGCTGATGTAGTTTACCACCATCCCTTCCTGGATGAACTCCTCCTAACTTTTGATCACTTGTGCAAGAATGACACTGTTATTCTGTGGGCTATGAAATTTAGACTGGACAAAGAGAACAAATTTGTGGACAAATTTCAGACACTGTTTGATTTAGAGGTAGTTTCTAATTTCCCCAGTTTGAACATAACCTTGTATAAGGCAATGAGGAAAGGCAGGATGAAAGCCACACCTTCCAAACCGATGGTCTAAAAGAGAGGAACAGGGAAGTGACAGTTTTGGCTTTTCTACAGCTTACTCTCTTCTTATTAATTTCCATGTTAGTAGCTGCTAACAGCTGTATGAATGACATTTTTGGGAACAGCTAAAAAACCCAACAGATTCCTGGTGCATACCCCAATTCCTGAATTAGTTTGCTGGTAGTTTTATACACAGAAGAAATGAATCTTTGATGTTTTCTTAACTTTCATCTGCTAAGCTGACAAGACTAACAGCTTTCACGAATCTTACCATTATGGGTTGTGCAGTGAATATATCCAATATTCATTGTGTCTTGTAAGATCAACTGATCATTTAAGACTTAAGGCTATGATAACTCTCTGTATTTGAATGTTGTGGTGTTAAATCTGTCCTTTCCCCATTCTTACTATTGTGTAAATCCTTCCTTTGAATAGCCTTTACAGAACATTAAATTAGCTGGAAAAAACCACAAAAAACAGCACTTGGGAGATATACTGTCATAGAAGAAGGAACAGAATATATTGGCTACCCTTTGATTTAATGATTATGCCTTCTTCCCTTTCCATTTTTTATTTATATTTAGAGATTCTTCAGCAGATAGCCACACACGTGAGATAAGAGGGAGTTCAATGTTTTGTTGCTTGAACAAAGGTCTTGGATAAGAAGAGTATAGCGTATCACCAACTGCCCTTTGCAAAGCCATTAAATTCTTGGAGGGTTCCTCCTCCAAAAATAGACATTTGTCTGAACCTTAGGGAACAACCATGGTAAAAATGACAGTGGCCATCAAGAGAGGAGTTTTGCACTGGCCGGCTGGTGGTGGCTAGAGATAGAAAAGGAAAACAGACTGACATGATGTGGCCCGAGGCATGGGCAGGTTTGAGTATTTTTTTGTCTTTGTAGTATGGGCAAAAAAAATACTTTTCTCCTAGCCACTGAGTACTGTGTGTTCCTGGATTTAGTGGTCAGATTAACGTCCTTGAAAACCTTTCTTTTGGGAAGACTGATAAAATGATTCTTTAAACACCCTGTATCTTCTGATTCTGCTTGTAATTGGGTGTGAGAGGCCTTCAAGTCCCTTGCAGGCTAGAGAAGAAAACCCTGCTCCTATGCTAATGTCCAGAAAGAACTTTAAGTGTCTTACCACAGTAAGCTAAGCAATTATTCTAGTAATAAGAGGGCTCTGGGGGCTATAAATCTTTATCTTCTTAGCTATTATTTGTTTTCCCTCCAGGAGTTCTTTAGGTTTTGTCAGATTTGAGCATTTTTTTTTTTTTAATGATAAGTTCCAGAATATACTAGTGTTCATAACCCTTCCTGTGAAAGATGCACATTATTTATTTACTGTGCTACCTGGCTGAACAGTATGGGGCAGAACTAAGATAAATGAGTGGTGTAATTGGAATGTGCTCTTACTCCTAGACAAGCATTGGGGTTTTTTGGTGTGAAGGTGCCCAGTATTAGAGATGATGTGTTGCAAAGACGAGCTGGAGCTGCCAAGATTTTCCAGTGGGACCTGAGTGCCCCATGTGTGGAAGGAGGTTCTAAGGAGAATTTTTTAGGGGAAGGATGGATGAGGCTGAGGCAGGGGGGATCTAGAGTGGAGGGAGGAGTGCAGAGAAAAGGTAGCTGCAGGGAAAAGGTGTGATGGAGGACGAGGAAGAGAAGAAAGACAATGAGATTGACTTCAAAAAGGGTTAGGAGTCGTAGCACAAGGGCTGACCATCTTTCTTGCTACTGACTGTAAGAGCAGCATCCTTGGTGAGCTCTGGAGGATGACTGTTGTAATATTAGAGCAATTGGTACATTTTAGCCTAGGATAACATTGACTCTACTTTCTGATTCTGCTGAGAGATCATGTGAGATTTTGACTTGGAGGTTATTAATAAACATCTTCTAATCCTCACCAATTATTTCCCTGTGACAACGTTTGTATGTAGAGGTAGCATCTTTTTATTGGATCAACCAGCATGGTGAGAAAATTAGACTCTGTGCTACGTGGTATGGAATATTACTTCTACTTGGAGAAGTTGTTGTGCTTATGCCCTTAAATAATTACAGCTGTAAAAAACCAAAACTACAGAATGGAAATATTTTTTCCCACACTATGTAACAGAAATAGTTAAGTTCAGGTGAATAAAGAAACAAATGTGGATCTCTGCCTTTTCTAGAGTTCCTCTTCTGGCTTCCTTCCTCTTCATTTGCTTGCAACTATCTACTATGGCTGGAACTCTAAACTTTGCATCCTAAAGGGCATCCCTGTTTAAAAATATTTTATGGAAAAATGGATCGGTACTGTAATTAATGGGCAAGAGTGAAAATGTATTGTGTGCTCCAAAATGATGAAAATGGAAGAGGAAAAGCAAGACTACAGCAAAGCAGTAAAGTGCAATCACTTTTGAATAGACATTCTGCTGATTAGCCTTCCTGTTTGGGCTGCAGGCTGTCACCTGCTGAGAGCTCCTGCAGAAGTCAACAGGAGATGTTTTTGCAGAACGGGTTCAGGATTGGGCCCTTCAGGCCCAACAGCTTGTAAATATTTGCTGTAATGTAGCATTAGTCCTCTTTCTCACAAGACTGTCTAGCACTGCTCTGTGTAGCTTCTTGGAAAAGCTCTAGTGATTGTCCGCTCTGTTGTACAGCCACCTTGTGACCTCTGGAATGATGGGCAGGTTGTTAGTCATGACCAATGGAGGGTGAGGCCATATGTGGCATTTGCTTATGGAGCACAAGCACTCAGCAATTGGCAATAGTCTGCTCTTTGAAAACAAGCCTCGCATGAATGTCAAGTGCTACTTGACTCCTAGAGACAGTCACAATTTTAATAACCACTTATTCTTCGTTCTAATATTTCAAACAATCAAACTGTCATTCAGGGCATTATGTCATTAATACAGTGTAGTGGACAGATGCGTGAATGTTTGCCTTAAACCTTTCTTGAACAAAAACGAGACCAATTTCTGGCCCTGTGCGGGAAACTGATAAGTGCCAAACAGAATGTGGTAGAAGGATCTGATAAACAGATGCCTCAAACAGCCTTGTCCCGAATATGCATGAGATGAGAAGTCTTGTGAAGGCAGGATGACCCTGCCTCCTAGCATATATCCTATGGAGATAAGGCAATTGCCTATGGTTGTAAACGATGAAATGCCCTGCTTCCCTACTGGACATACTGTATGCCCGCATATAGAAAAAGTGAGTATAAATTGAGGTGGGAAAAAGAAAAAAAGATAGAGGAGAAGAAGCATGAAGACAACAAGAAGTGTAGGAGGAGAAGTAAAGACGACAGCATCCTTGAACCCTCGTTGGCAGGACCAACACAGGAACCTAGACCAATGATCTGTCTCTCTCTCCTTCTCTCTCATTTTTTCTTTCTCTCTCTCCCTTTCCCTTTTCTTGCTAAGTGACGCAAGGCCTATCATACTGTTTACTTAGTTTATACTTAGTTACTTTCTTGTATTTGTTAAGTATAATATTGCCTGATATAAGTTGTTATATGTCCTTTTTTCTTATTGCTTTTAAGTAACATACAGCTTGCTGTAGTTTGTTGTATACCTAGTCTTTTCCTGATTATTAAGTCATAGTATATTGCCTGCCCTAGCGTGCCTTGTGATTAAAACCTATTATTGTGAGTCTAATCTATACGCTGTGAGAACTTAATAAATGATTTGTGTTTGCAGCTTGAGACTTGTCTCACCGTTGTCCACTCTGTCGGGGATTATGAATCTAAGTCACTTGTCCCTCTGCTCCTGGGCAGGACGTGTCATACACATGGCGTTTTTATCCATAATTTGCAAAAGGAGGTGGAAAAAAAAGACAAATTAAATTTGTGGGTGAAAGAGCTTCACCTGTGAGGAGTGGCAGAGAGACTGCCTAAGCTGGTATGCTTTTACTCTGTCTTATAGAACGTTATGGTAATCATACTAATTGAAGAGATAAATTGGCATATATGGTATGGGTTCAATCAATTCCTTTGGTTTGCTGTATCCCAATTGAAGAAAATATACTGAGCAACTATAAATCTATTTAAGTAGCTTGATGGTATTTGTTAGATTTTCCACAAACAATATGGTTTTGGAAATGCTAATGTTTTCAGAACGGTTTCCTTTTGTATAAAGTATGTATAAAATCATTACAGTGATTTACTTTGCTGCTTTTCACATAACATCTCCATCAAGGTCTTTTGCAAATCACTGATTTTTCCTTCTCAGAATTAAGGTAAAAAAATCCTTTCAACACTGTACAGTTTCCATATGGTTATATTGAGATCTTGGCTCTGCGTTGTTGAATTGTGATGCAGTTCTGAGTGATTTGCCTTCACCTACATTATTAAACCCACAGATTTGGACTTTTGCCTCTTAAAATAGCTGTAAGGAAAAGCTGTAGCTGCTGAACATTTAGAAAAAACATTCAAATGACAGTGCAGACCTATTGTGCAGGCCTCATTTTCATTTAAAAGCAGTAATGGAGGCCCAGCCTAAGAAATGCATCTGCCAGAAACATACACAAATAACTACTCGGGGCACAAATGGCAGTTGAATGATGAACAGTTTATAGTAGCTATTGCACAATCACTAGTCAATGTTAAGTGAGCAAGGAAGACTAGCTGCCACATGGGACTCTGAGCAACCTGATCTAGTTAAAGATGTCCCTGCTCACTGCAGGGGAGTTGGTCTAGATGACCTTTAAAGATGCCTTCCAACTCAACACGTTCTCTGATGACGGTGATCATCTTTAAAGATCTGCTGAGTATGTCTGCACAGACGACACAATTATCTGAAGAAATAGTAATCTACCTACCAAACAACGGAGGATCCCGAAACCTGGATGGGTTTAGAAGACGTAGATTCAGCTAACACCCTTTGGACTTTGGAGACATGAAAGCTACAGGATTTCTGACCACTCAGAGAAGCTGATACTGTGCTAGTAACCATGATGTGATCTCAGATAAGTTCAGTGAGAATGAAAGATAGATGCTGTCAAGATGTCATTGCTCCATGGAGGTACTTCAGAAATTGATATGTTTGTTCTTATAATAGCTCTGTAAAGTCAGGGAAATAGTAACACAGGTGTAAAGCAAAGAGGAAACTGAGCTAAATGTCAAGTGATTTAACAGTGGTCATGGTGGAGAGTCCAGTACCAAGTTTCTTTCACAGGAAAAATAACATTTCCTGGGCTGTAGCTTGTTTGAATGATCACTTTAAGTAAAAATGTAAATTAACTTTATTGCTTCATTAAAATATATATGTTTCCATGCCACTGTAAATAAATTATAAAACCCCTAAGACTGTAAGCACTGAGCAAAAGGAAAGAAAAAAATTTCATATTTCCCTTTTGTATAGTTGTGCCAGCCAACCATAAAATACACAGACTGTATTGGATAATATGGAATTTCAGTATCAGTCGGGTTAGAAGGCACCTCTGAAGGTTATCTAGTCCTATCTTCTGCTCAGATCTGGGACAGATTCAAAGTCTGAATAAGTTGCTTAGATTGTCCAGTTGGTTTATGAAAATTTCCAAGAAAGGAGATCCCACAATATAACTGAGCAAGCTGTCAATTTCAGATTATATATCTTTAACATATCCAACTGGAGTTTCAAAGAATCATAGAATGACTAAGGTTGGAAAGGACCTTAAAGTTCATCTAGTTCCAAACCACCTGTCGTGGACAGGGGCACCTCCCTCTAAACCAGGTGCTCAAAGCCCTGTCTAACCTGGCCTCGAACACTTCTGAGGAGGGGGCTTCCACAACTTCTCTGAGTAACCACTTCCAGTGTCTCACTACCGTCACAGAAAATAATTTCTACCTAATATCTGATATAAACACCATATCTTTCAGTTTGAAAGCGATACCTCTCATACTATCACTAAACTAACAGCCCTTTGTGAGGATGTGCTGTAAATGTTTATGAGGTGAGAGAGAAGGAGGTGGTGAGCCCAGGGTTCATTTACAGTGATCTGTTATCTACAGAATAACATTTATTTTTCTTAATTAACACTTAACACTCAAGTGAACAGAACCATGTAGTCAACAAAGGTGAAACTGAGAATAATAAGCATGCACCTATAGCAAAGTTGGACAACAGTTGCCAAGTTGGGAGAACTAGTACAATCAGTTAACTCTGTGAAGACATGGGGATGACAGGTGTGAGGGAAGCAGTGGAGAAGTCTTTGTGTTTTGAAGAGGGAGCAGTGGGACAGAGCAAGTGTGGTTTCCAAATGGGAGGCGTGAGGAGGTGGTCAGATCGTCAGGAAGAGGGGAGTCGTGTAGAGGGAGTGCCGGAGTCCAAAGGTGGAAGCAGGTGCCTGGGGCTTGATCAGCGTCACCTAGAAAGGGACAGGTGAGAAGAAAAAAAAGGTGGCGGTTGTGCCTCACCTTCTTCAGAAGATGCGTCCTCGGCGAGCGCATACCTTTGCCATTTGCCGTGCCTGGCTGTGTGCATACCCGGGCACTTGCAGCAAGTGCCCCTGTCCCAGTGGCACTTTTGTGGGAAACGTCCTGTGTTCTCAGGACCTTGCTGCTGGGCTGCTGCTGGTGATGACTGGGGAGCAACGTGAAGGCAAGAGCAAAGGAGTGGTGTTTGAGTGCATTTGGGCACTGTGTGGCTGAGGGAGCAGGAAGGCAAAGGTGTGTGCTTTGACATCCCTCTCACTGGCTTTGGGCCCAGGCAAGGGCCTGCTGTCCTGCGGCCGGTGGCTCCAGGGAGGTGGTGCTCCTGAGTTCTCTGAAGGGAGATGCTTAGGGGCTGATTGTGGCCAAGCAGAAGAGGAGCAGCGTGCAGGCTCTGCCTTATCTTTCCCAGGCAGTAGTCTGCTTCCACCTTGGGGAAGGCAGCAGGACCTGGTGTCTATAAGAGAGGCAGGGTGGTTGCTAGGTACGAGAGGCAAGTGCCGATTCCTGTGTGGTGCCCCGGTGAGCAGCGCTGGTTGAACTGTGAGGCCAGAGCGGCGGGGGGAGAGATGCGGAGCGTGGCAGCAAGGGCACCTCCCATTGCTCTGCTAGGAGGCCGATTTCCCCGAGGAGGACGGTGATGTCCATCCGAGGGGAAAAGCTTTGCCCCATGCAAGCTGTGAGTGTTGTCACGGAAGGAACTAGGGGTGTGGTGAGAGGCTCTCCTCTGATGCTGGTAAGAGCTGAGAGCCTGGGCCCCGGCGCTTGCTGGGTTTTACTTGGGGTGCAGGGAGACGTGCGCTGTAAAAGGCTGCAGAAGCGGGCACTGCAGTCCTTCTGGCCCCGAGGAAAGCAGCCGAGGTTCAGCTGTTGCTGGGTGCACGTGCGAGAGAAGGGCAGCTCACCTTGCAGTGCTCCCTGGCAAAGCCGCTGTGCTTGCTCCTGCCTGCCATGGAGAAGCAGGGGCTAGTGTGTGTGTAGGTGGTGTTGGGCCCCATCAGCCTGGGCAGGGTGTAGGTGTTGAGCCCTAGAAGGGGAACAGGAAGAGAGCGGGTGAGCGTCCTGGAGGGAGAGGAGCAGCGCCAGAGTGGGAGAGAAGGCACCTGTTAAGGAGCTGCGATGAGCGAAAAGGATGCTCTGACCCCTCTGCCAGCGCTCCCGTCGCTGTCTGTCATATGAGACGGCGTGTGTGAGCGGCTCCAGGGCTGTGCTGCTGGTTCTTCTGCGAGGTAGAAGTGGGTGCTGGGGGCCATCAAGCAAGCTTGTCATGAGGCTGTGGCTGCGTTCTGCTACGCAGGCTGTTCCCTGGGCCTGCTGCAGGAGCTGTGCAGTGCATGTTGCTTGGAGGGGATGCAGGTTGAGAGGGCCTGTGTTTCCATGCGCTGCCTTACCTGGTGTCTGGCTGGCTCTGTTTCCATGCATTGCCTTACCTGGTGTCTGGCTGGCTCTGCCGGCCTTGTGCCGGAAGGCCATGGGCTGCTCCGGCACACGTTTGTAAATGTGCTTGTTGGCGGTCTTGGTGCAGGAGTCACCTGGGGCAGAGGAGAAAAGGGGAAAAGTTGTGAAGCTGAGCTCTTCTCCTCGAGGTCAGAAGGAGCTGCTCTGCCTTGTTTCTTTTGTGTGTGGAAGTGCCTGAAGCTGCTTCTGGGCATGAGCTGATGGTTTTTACCTCGGTAGCACAGGGCAGCACTGAGGTGTGCACCTGCCTTGCACAGCAGCAGGGCTGGAGCAGCGGTACTGACTTGGCCTGGGGGTGACCTCGATCTTGTCTGGGTGCCAGCCCCAGATGGGCTGTGCTGGAGCCATGTACTTGCTGCTGCGGGTGACAGAGGACAGGCTGAAGTAGCGTGGCCCTGGGGAACAGTCTGTGGTGGGAGGTTTGGCCCCTTGGAACGTGTACACTGAGGCCTTGGTTTTGGTGGGATTGTGAGCCAGGTACCCTGGGGAGAAAAAGTCATGATAAAATGACTCCTGCCTGCAACTGCATCTTCGAAGGTAGCTTCTCAGTGGAGGAGTTGAAGTTGTCGGCCTCAGGGAATTCCTTCCCTGTGTGGCTTTTTCAGGGCATGAGTGATGTGAGGGGGTCAGTCGTGGAGTGCCTTGTGTTGCAAGAAGTGTGCATGTGTTAGCCTGGGTAGTTTTGGAAATGCCTTGCTAAAGACTGGTGACAGAAAGGGGACCTCGAGGTGAGGCAGTGTGGCTCCAATGCTGAGCAAGAAAGACAACACAAAGGCTGGGGAGGCAGGAGAAAGGCGAAGGCACCGTCTGTGCTCAGCAGAGGCAGGCAGCTCTTTGCCGGGCTGTGTCAGGAGCAGCCTGAGTCTTCCTGCGGCCGGCCATGTCCTTGCTGCAGCCAAGAACACAGGGGCTGGGAGCAAAGGGCAAGGGAGCTGTGGCTGCTTGTCCCCTGGAGGTGCTGGCGCTGGTGGCTTTACCTATTGTCCCGGGAACGGCGTACTTGGGCCCTGGGCTGGCGAACTGGGCCAAGATGAGGCCGCGTGGATGATGAGGCCTCTAGGAGCTGACTCAGGCTCTGTCCATGCTGGAGGTGACTCGAGAGCCTACGGGCAGAATGGGAGAGCTGCTGTGGGGCTTCGCGGGGAGACTTGCTCTTAGTGAAGTCATATTGGCTGTCACAAGTCACCTCCTTATTTTCCATATGCCCTAGCACAGTTCTCAGAAGGATTCTTGCCATGATCTTCCTGGGCATAGCGGTTTCTCTTGTTGCAACTGGACATCTGCTTTCTTTTTCATTTTGTGTTGTACCTCTGGCTTCATCTTCTCTATAATTCTCTCATTAGGTAATAGAAGACAGTCATTAGATCCACCCTTAATTTTCCCTTCAGGCTGAGCAAACCCAGCCCTCTCAGTCTCTGCTTCCTCCTCCTCTGGACTCTCTCTAGTTTATTAAAATCACTTTTACTATTGAGTCTGCAACCAGAGGTGACCTCTAGCTGGTCAACTCATGGCCTTTGCTGTGGCATGGTGTTATTCTGTTGGACTTTATGTGGATTTTGTCAGCCTATTTCTTTAGCTTGTCAAAGTCCTTTGGCACAGCAGCTCTGCCTTTATACCAGTTTAGTGTCTTCATAGAATTTCATTTTGTAATAGTTAATCCATTGTCCAGGTCTCTCACTGAAATGCTTAATGACATCAGACTCTGCCCTGACCTCACCTGCATCACTCCTATGGACTGCTAGCTGGGCTTTGAACTTTTGCTCACTACCTTTCGGTCTAATGGTCCACTCATTTTTTTTTTAACCACTTCATAGTCCATTCATCCAGTTTGCAATTGAGCTACAAAGCCTCTATAGGAAAAAAATGTGATAAACTTTATAAAAAAAAGATCAAATTATATCCATTGTACTCTGCTTATTCACAGGACCAGTCAGAGACAGCAATTAAGTTGTTCCGATTCTTAGCAAATTTATATTGGTGGTTTTCAATCATATGCTCTTTCTTTCCAGGGAGGTTTGTTGGGTAGTCTTCCTGAGGACTGAGAGGAAGCAGACTGGACTGTAGTCCTTTTGAGCCTCTCTCTAGTTGTTTTTGAATATAAGCTAATATTTGCCTTTTTCCAGCCACTGGGAGCTGTTTCCAGCTGCCACCTTTCAGAGTTGATAGCGATCTTACAGTGATGTCAGCCAGCATCTTTGGCATTCTCACAAAGTTTCTGCCCAATCCCATTGACTTGTACATCCCCAGTTTACTTAAGTGGGCCCTAGCTTGATTGTTCTATCCCACTACTACATCTCACCAAACTCTGTCACTAAGCACAGAGATATGGAAATCCTGAAAGGTGACCTTGTAGGTAAAGACTGAGGCACAGAAGCAAGGGAATAGGCCAGCTTTTTTCATGTCCTGTGTCATTCAGTTCCCTGCCTTTTGCAGCGGTGGATTCATGTTTTCCATGTCTTCTTTTTATTGTTGATGCACCTATAAAACCCTTCACATCCCTATCTTGTAATCCAGCTGGGCCTTGATTTTCCTAACTCCACCACTGTGTGTTTGAGCAATGGCTCTGTATTCCTCCTGAGTAGCCCATCTCTACTTGCACTTTCTGAGTACTTCCTTTTTTCCCTTTGAGCTTGGTTAGGATATCTGACTTTTTCATACTAGCTCTTTACAGAGCTTCCTCGACTTTCTACATGGTGGGGTAGACCATCCTTCTTTGAGGAGGTTGTTCCTGAAGACCAGTTAATATCTCGGCTATTTGTATCTTCAGGGCAGTCCACAATGGGATCCTGCCTATTAATTCCTTGAACTGTCTGATATATCCTCTCCTGAAATCTAATATCTTTATTCTGCTACTTGCCTTCCTCACTTTTCTCAGAATTTTCAACTACCATCTCAGAGGCACTGCAGTCAAGGCAGCCACAGGTTGTCATATCCCTGACCGTTATTTATTAGTAACAGATTCAGCAGAGCACTTTTGCTATCTGGCCAGTCAAGGATCTGTTTTAAAAAATTGACTCCAAAGCACTCCAGAAAACTCTTGAATTGCTTACACTGTTGCGGGTTGCCTTTACGACACACATCGGTATTGGTTAAAGTATTTCATGAGAACTGGCAACCATGATACTGATGCCTCCTCAAACTGTTTAAAGAAGGCTCTCTCTACTATATTGTCTCTAGCAGGTGGTCTGTAGCAGATGTCCCTCTTGGTCTCCCTTCTGACCATTCCCGTAAGCTCTTGGCTAACCCATTGCATCATAGATAACATGGTACCGTGCATTTTACCCCCTACCTCACCCAGAGTGCAATCTGCCCCATCTTTGTCCTATTTTCCTATCCTTAAATGTCTGTGGATCACAGCACTGCAGTTGTGCTGTTTTTCTGAAGGACAAGGCTCTAAATATACCAGTGTGACCAGTGTGACTCTAGTACTATCTCTGAGGAAGAATGGCAATTAGAAATAAAGAGATAAGTCGGTCAGGATTACTTAAGAGGTTGTGGCAGACTCTTAGCTATACAGATATAAAGTCTGAATGCACTGAAATCCTGAGTCATGTTCTGGTCATGTTCAAGGAGGTCCATAACTACATCAATTTTCTACAGAACATTGCTCATCAATTGCTACATATGATTAATGTCAGATTCTTGCATTATTGAGTTACTCAGTGAATGTTATTATTATATACTATTATTCTTATAGATTATTGTTATTGTTATTAATTAGCAATAATTTAATCTGTGTCCTCTGCATTATTGACTCTACTCACATTCCTTTCAGGCTTGAAAACAGTTCACGAAAACAGAAACTCTTGTTTCTCTCATGATGCCCAAGATTACTACACCCATGTGTACAGCCATGACTGTTCACTCTGAGGGGCTCAGCCTTGGCAGCAGAGTAAAAGGGTCGTTACATATTGGCTGCATTCCCACCAGGAGTCAATCATATAGTAGCATGAAAACTCCTATATCAATTGGTAGAAGTATATGAGTGCTCTGGGAAACTGAACAGATATCTTGATGGTGGAGGAGACCATCTTTGTTCAGAATAAATGATTTCTCATGATTTCTTCTACTGATCTCTCGAAACAAAATTGTTATCAATGTTCTCCAAGCAGCCTGAACGATCACAAAAAGTGGTTTCAATGCCCTGACAGTAAGATCCTGGAATGCTCTGCTGTTATGCTGCTGTAAAAGGCAAGAAAGATGTGTGGTTCCTTTCCAGTTTATTGAGTCTTGAACAATGTTATTTTGATTTAAAATGGGAAGACACAGATGGAGCTGGATGGTAAGTCTGATTCAGGGCATCAGACACTACAAGCAGAAAGAATACATTTTTGGCCATTTCTGTCTGATATGGATGACTCTGAAAATATTCTAAACTGCATTCTGTAAGCACAGCCTGCCTCTTTCCAGACTGGAGTGCTTCATCAAAGAAAGAAATCTTTTGGGGAGTATTTTAGCCTGAATTAAGATGAGAAGTCTCACAGTTTCAGGGAGCCATCTGGGATTTGGCTGGTGACAGTGAATGACTGAGAAGACCTTTTAGTGTCCTGTTCATCAAGATGGGTGATACCTAATGCTCTAGCACAGGTGCCTCAAAGTCTTTGGCTAAGACTACTTGGTGGACAGAGAATCTTTAACTTTTGAAATCTATTTTTCCTAGCAGCACAGTAGGCAGATAAATAGCTTCAGTCAAAGTGTGTTTGTTGAAACTGGTATATTCCGCAAAACTGGTGCTTTATACTGTAAGACAACTTTATCAAAAGAGTCACAGCTAATTCTAATTAGGAAAATGTAGCAGGAAGAAATCTGTTGAACAAGCTGTGCAAAAGGTTTCAGAGATAAGAAATCATATAGAAATTACATCTGAGCTACATAAAATAACCCAGCTTTCTTCAATACTTGTTTTCAGTCTAGTGCCCATTTTTCAGTAAACTCCCAATGGGTAGTCCATACAGTAGCCATAAACAGCTGGATAACAGAGGAATGAGAAAGTTCGTGTAAGAAAAACTGTCTGACACAGCTTGTCAAGAGAAATTTGCCTTTTTAATAAGTAAGTGTTCAAGAATCCCCACTTGTCATCTCATCACTATCTATATGGTCGAGGTAGACAAGAATGCCACTGGCATCCTGGCCTGTATCAGGAATAGTGTAGCCAGCAGGATTAGCCAAATGATCATGCCCCTATACTCAGCAGAGATGAGGCTGCAACTTGATTACTCTGTTCAATTTTGGGCACCACAGTACAAGAAAGACATTGAGGTGCTGGAGCAGGTCCAGATAAGGTCAATGAAGCTGGTGAAGCGTCTTGAGAGTAAGTTTTATGAGGAGCAACTGAAGGACTTAGAGTTGTTTAGTCTGAAGAAAAAGAGACTGGGTAGAGACATTATCCCTCTCTACAACTACCTTAAAGGAGGTTGTAGTGAGGTGTGTGTTGGTCTCTCCTCCCAAGTTACAATAGGACAGGACAAGAGGAAATGGTGTCAAGTTATGCCAGGGGAGGTTTGAGTCATAGAATCATAGAATCAGACATTAGAAAAAACTTTGACACTGAAAGGGTTATCAAAGACTGGAACAGGCTGCCCAGAGAAGTGGTTGAATCACCATTTGTGTGTCTGCTGAATCCCAAACCCTGTTCTCCAGCCTCTTTTTACAGAGATTCTTCTTATGAGGGCTCAGTGCAACAGGAGGGCAATACTTCCCTTGGTGTGCAAGAAGTCTCACTTTACCTTGTCTCAGTATTTGGCATTCTTATTACCCTTCTGCTCTTCCTTGCCATCCAGGTTGACAGTAGCAGGTGTCCCTTCTGTCAGAAGGTCCTTTCCAACCAGCTAACAGCATGTTCTCTCCTGTGAAATGTGATCCCCTGATAAATGTGCTGAACCTCTTGAAGCTAAGAAAGGGAGTTGCTCCTATGGCATCCCTGCCCATGACAGGGAGGTTGGACTAGATGATCTCCAAGGTCCCTGCCAACCTAAGACATTCTATGATTCTATGATTCTATGAGTCTATCTTTTTTTGAATGTTCAGGGCCACCTTGTGTCAATAAAGATGCACAGCAAAACCATGATCTGAACCTTCCCTTCTAGTGATCAGGGATCCGTCCATCCAGGGGACCAACACATTGAACAGTGGGTACGTCTGTTGCCAGTGCATTTTCCTAAAGCCAAGATCGTGGCAGTGACTAGGCTGAATGAGAAAGGAAAGATTGAGATAATATCTTACAAGCATTGGATATAAGGTAGGCTTTTAATAATGAAAGAACAAGACTGTTCAGGAAGACCCTAGCTGTACCTATCAGCAGCTGAGAAATGTAAAGGACTTGCTATTTTGCTGCAAATCTGGGTTGAGAACCTGTGAGAATTAGAAGTGGGCTCTGTCACTATTTAATCAACTTTGCTGCCTGTGTTTTGGGCATTTAGGTCCTGCTAGTGAAGCTTTGTGACACTACAAGAACATCTCAGTTTGATGCTGCCTCTGTTGTGTTTGTCCTTCAGTTTTTTATTTAACGAGGAACCCTCTCATCTCTCAGGGGTGTGTGTTGCTATGAGTCACCTGCATGGTGAATGAACCTATAGGAAAGCTCTTGAAGCAGAAAGAAGTAGTATCTCTTTAGGTAATTTGATACTTGTCCTATGAAGGCCTAGAAGGATTTTCTGGAAGACTGGCATTGAGATGGAGGAGTATGAAACAACTGCAGGTGCTACTGTGGAGGCAAGTTGGAGC